TTGGTTCTGACTCATAGCGACCTTATGTACAACAGAACGAAAGACTGCCCGGTCCTTTGCTATCTTCACAATTGTTGTTATGCTTGAGCCCATTGTTGCAGCCACTGTGTCAGTCCATCTCGTTGAGGGTCCTCCTGTTTTTCGCTGACCCTTTACTTTACCAAGCATGATGTCCTTCTCCAGGGACTGATCCCTCCTGATAACACGTCCAAAGTATGTGAGACATAGCCTTGCCATCCTTGCTTGTAAGGAACATTCTGGTTGTACTTCTTCCAAGGCAGATTTGTTTGTTCTTTTGGCAGTCCTGGTATATTCAGTATTCTCCGCCAACACCACGATTGAAAGGCATCAGTTCTTCTTTGGTCTTCTTCATTCATTGTCCAGCTTTCACATGCATATGAGGCGATTGAAAACACCACGGCTTGGCTCAGGCGCACCTTAGTCTTAAAGGTGACATCTTTGCTTTTCAACACTTTAAAGAGGTCTTTTGCAGCAGATTTGCCCAAAGCAATACATCATTTGATTTCTTGACTGCTGCTTCCATGGGAGTTGATTGTGGATCCAAGTAAAATGAAGTCTTTGACAACTTCAGTCTTTTCTCCATTTGTCATGATGTTGCTTATTGGTCCAGTTGTGAGGATTTTTGTTTTCTTTATGTTGAGGTGTAATCCATACTGAAGGCTGTGGTCGTTGATCTTCATCAGTAATAGCTTCAAGTCCTCTTCACTTTCAGGAAGCAAGGTTGTGTCATCTGCATAACGCAGGTTGTTACTGAGTCTTCCTCCAATCCTGACGCCCCTTTCTTCTTCATATAGTCCAGTTTCTCAGATTATTTGCTCGGCATACAGATTGAATAGGTATGGTGAAAGGATGCAACCCTGACGCACACCTTTTCTGACTTTAAACCACGCAGTATCCCCTTGTTCTGTTCGAAGGACTGCCTCGATCTGTGTACAGGTTCCTTGTGATTACAGTGAAGTGTTCTGTATTAGCTGCAAGATTCTTAGGACATCAGCCCAACCGTTGAGACTTTGTGGCTGTTTATTGCAAATTTAAAATTTTATTTTCATGTGTTTTATCAGTTGAGGATGCACGACCAACCACAGCTGCAAGAGCCAGATGTTGTTATTGGAAGTTTTGACTCAAATTTGTTTTTACTGTTGTGCAACAAGCGTTTTATTGGCTACTGGGAGAGGATTTAAATAATGAATAAAGGAGGTTTCCTCATCGCAGGAAAGTTTATGTTCTCGTGGGAGAGACTAGAGTCCTGAGCCCTCACCATGTGCCACATGCCGTGCTAGTTGCTTTATACCCTGTTGCCCGGAGTCCATCCCGACTCATGGCGACCCCTGTGTGTGACAGAGTAGAGCTGAGCTCCATAGGGTTTTCTGGGCTATAGTCCTTGTGGAGGCAGATACAGGCCTTTCTTTTGCAGTGCCACTGGGTGGATTCGAACTGCCAGCCTTTTGGTTAGTATTCAAGTGTAAGCCATTTTCACCACCCAGGATCTGTTAAATTTCATTTAATCCTCAAAACAACATAATGTTTTCATTGTATAAGTGAGGAAATTTGAGCTCATGCAGATGTTAAGTAACTCACTCAGGGTTACAGCTGTTAAGTGACAAAGTAGAAACGCAGACTCATTTCTGTCCAGCTGGAAGGCCCAAGGTTTTCCATTGCAGGGCATGGTGTACGGGCGTGTAGACTGATAGGCTATGAGGCTGATGGGGCTTCCCAGTGCAGGCACTGAACTGGAGCCGCAGGCATGCCTGTATTTGAACACCAGTGCTGTCCAGGTTGCTGTCCTGGGCAAGTCACCTCACCTCTCTGAGGCTCAGGTTTCTTGCTCTCATTCACCCGTCCATCCATCCATTCCTTCTGGAATACCTCTTGTGCATGTTGTAAGGTCAGAGAAAAAAAGGTAAGCGTCAGACTTCCTTTAAGTAATAAAGTGCTTGTTGGGGAGGCAGCTTATCATGGTGATTCAGATGTTCAGGCTCTGGTCAGCTAATGCTGAGCTGAATCTTAGTGAGCCCTAGTAGTTGGCTAACTCTGTGTGAGTGTGTGTGTGCGTGCACATGCACTAAATTTTATTGTCGTAAAATATATATAAGGAGCCCTGGGTGTGCAGTGGTTAAAGCGCTCAGCTGCTAACTGAAAGGTTGGCAGTTCAAACCCACCAGCCTCTGCAGGAGAAATATATGGCAGTCTGCTTCCATAAAGATGGACAGGCTTGGAAACCTTATGGGACATTTCTACTCTGACCTGTGGGGTTACTCTGAGACGGAATTGATTCAACAGTAACGGGTTTGGTTTTTGGTTTGAAAATATATAAAGCAAAAAATTTACAGTTTTAACCATTTTTAAGTGTACAATTCAGTGACATTAATTATTTTCCCCATGTTGTGCTACCATTACCACTATCCATTTCCAAAAGTTTTACTCCGAACAGAAACACAGTCCTCTTCATCGTTAACTCCCGTTGTGATTAAATTTATATCACTAGACTTATGGAATAATTTTTCTTTTCTAAAGTAATGTCTTATTAGGCACTTTGTATAATACAAAGAGGAGTAAATGATGGTCTCTGCTTTTAAGGAGCATGTGGTGGAGGTGGTAGGGATAGTGGATCCTGAATTCGAAGATAGTTGAATGATTAGAGAGAGGTGGGGCCGGTGGAGGGGGTTAAGATGTTACAGAAATGAGGGGAAGGAGACCTGGAGAAATGATAGACTGGAAGCTGTGAGAAGGAGATTACTGGGAGAGTTCAGTGAAAAGAATACATACAAAGTGCCTAGCACAGCGCCCGGCACAGAGTTAAGTTCTTAGGGGTTCTCGGCTGTTACTCCTATTAACTTATATACAGATACATAGTTCAAGAGCATCTCCTGTAGTTCAGGAGCACTCTCGTTACTGTAAAGCTTTAGGATTGCCAGAGTAACAGAGATGGTGACATTTTTAAAGGATATCAGCTTAGCATTGTTTGTGACTTGACCCAAGTTGGAGAAAGACGCTGTTTATGTAATTTCAGAGAGACCATAGCAGGACCCCTATTAATGTAGCTGCCATTTTGCTAACTCATTCTCAGGTCTCACCCCACAGCCATAGTCCTACTTCACACCAGATTCCGTGGGTAGATGGCTTTTTTCTAACACACATGCTCACATATCCTCTCCTTTCCATCGGGAAAGTGGAAAGAGAGAAGGTCGTACTGCCTGGAAGGACAGAAGTCTGGGCACGCATAATAAAGCTTCAGCGCCTAGAAAGGGGCCTGGTTATTTCGTTTTTATTTAATTTTTGTGTAGTTCATACAGTTGTTAAGAAACAAACAAAAAAAGTTGCTGTCGAGTCGATTCCGACTCATGGCAACCCCGTGTGTGTCAGAGTAGAACTGTGTTCCGTAGGGTTTTTAGCGGCTGATTTTTTGGAACTATGCCACCAGACCTTTCTTCCGAGGCACCTAGACTCAAACCTCTAACCTTTTGGTTAACAACTGAGCGCTTTGACTGTTGGTACCACCCAGGGAACCTATGTAATTGTTAATTCTGTTCTATTATCCCATTTTCCCTCTTTTACTTCAAATAAATAGTTCTTAGTCCATAATTGGAGCCCCTAGGTGATGCATACAGTTAAGCGCTCAACTAGCAGAAATGCTGGCAGTTCGAACCCACTCAGAGGCACCTTGGAAGACAAGTCTAGTGATCTGCTTCTGAAAAGTCACAGCCTTGAAAACCCTGCGAAGCAGTTCTAATCTGCATACGTGGACTTGTCATGAGTCGGAATCGACTTGATGGCACACGACAGCAGCAAGGTCCGTAACTGTCAGTGAAGAAGAGGCTGGCAGGACGGGAAAAGTAGAGAGGGGCTGAACTGGAAGAAGGCTGTGAGTGCCGGAGTAGCAAGGACTTTGACTCCCGAGAGAAGAGGCTGCCATTGTGGACTTGAAAGCGAAGGAGTCCGTGGTCTGACTGAGTTTTCACAAGATTCTGGTTGGGGTCTGGGTGTATTTTGAAGGTAGAGCGACTTGATGGGTTAGATGTGGAGGGTGAGAGGAAGAGAGGAGTTAAGGATGACTCTGGTTGAGCAGCTGAATCTTTGGTGAGGCCAGAGGCAGTGAGAGTGGACTGGAGCTTAGAAATGCCCTCAGAATTTTGTTGGGAACTCCACTTATCTCTGTGTTCCATAATGGGAAAGGACATCCTGCAGTTACACAGGCGTTAGCCCACCTTGTAGAAGGGAATTTTATATATGTGTGTATGTAAAGACTCATATATATGGTGATCACCTTTGAGTGGAATTCCATTGTTTTTCTCTAGAAGTAGGGTTTTGAGAAAAATCTAAATTGCTTTGGTTGATTCTGCACAGACAGTCCACATTGAAAACTAGTTACAGTTAACTTCTGCAGCAGTTGTTCCCGTTCCTTTACCAGTTTATGGTAGGACGAGGGGCTGACTCTTCCCCTTGCTTTTAAGAGAGAATCTGTTCATCTGGCTGTGGCCACTCAGAGCTGGGTGTAGGGCCTAGGGGTGGTCTCGGGCATGGACTTATGGAGTTCAGGGCAGCTGGCGTCTTCTGCATACTTGCTAGGACTTAACCTTTCTGAGTTTCAATGACCAAACCTTAAAATAGGGCTTAAAAGAGTATCCACTTAGCTGGATTGTTATAAAGATGTAATAAACCGGGCTGCGGAGGTGTGTCCAGCACCTGTGAAGGCTCAGTAAATGTCAGCTGTGGTCAACCTCAGCTACTCTACAGCCTGCAGTTGATACACGAGGTAAGAAAGGAAGAGAGAAGTTGTAAATAACTTGTCCAAGTCACATAATTAAATTTGAAGACTAAAGACCCATGTCTCTTGGTTTCTGTCTCAGATGTTTATGCTGACAGAACATTTAAAAAGGTGGTGAGTAGCCTTTTGCATTTCTTGTTATTATAAAAAGTAAATCTCTTCAGAGTATTGTTTTTCCATAAATTTATCATTTCTTTTTTTTTCTCTTAGGATTTGGAGTTCCATGGAGTTATGAGATTTTATTTTCAAGATAAAGCTGCTGGAAACTTTGCAACAAAATGTATTCGTGTCTCTAGTACTGCCACAACGCAAGATGTGATAGAAACGCTTGCGGAGAAATTCCGGCCTGACATGCGGATGCTGTCCTCCCCCAAGTACTCTCTGTATGAGGTGCACGTCAGCGGAGGTCAGTGCATCCGGGAGGGCGCGCTGGAAGGGGGCACGGCGTAACCAGCCGTCGTCCTGCTCTGTGACTGCACCCGGGAGGGCGCGCTGGAAGGGGGGCACGGCGTAACCAGCCGTCGTCCTGC